GATTTGAGCCTTTTAGCTCGTCGGGTTCTCGAAGTCGTTATCCTGTCTAAATTACTTCAATTGTTCATTTAGGCGTACGCAAAATAAACGCTGACGGGGTCGCATATGGTTCGCAAACATGCTCATAAAATTTCAGCTTCCAACTTTTTTAGCTATTAAGTCAAGGCCGATGAAAAATATATTAGCAAAACAAATAAAGATACCGCTTGTGAAATAGCAAAGATGTACGTGGCGATGAAAAAAATTCGAATCCACTTGAAGCTTTTTGTGGGAGAGGTGCTGGTAAGCGCTCGATGCTGGATACCGAGTATAACAGCTATATTAATTAACGTTAGAGACGGTAGGCACATATTTAGCCAAAACAGGAAATAAGCGATGTGGCTGCTTATCGATGGAGTACCAATATATTTCACTGGACCAAGTGCTTCTGCAATGAAATCCGACACTGATAAAGACCTGCAACAAATACAGTAACACCTTGACGATAGGACAGTATGTTCTTGGCGGATATATGATTTTTAACAGTTTATAGACCTTGGCCAAGAATCCGAATTTCACTCCAAAAGTTTCTGCAAATCTTCTCTTTCCCTTTTTCCGTCAATAAGGCAGCCAGACCCTCTATGATCCATTCATTCCTTTCGATAGTAAAATGATGCCTATCCCACGTTAAGCAAACGAAACAGACCGCTGGTTGTTTCTTAGCAAAGCTTGAAAAAAAAGAGCCAAAATAAATGCGAAAGGTGTTTTGGCTTGACCTATGCTGTGACAGCATCATCGAAATTGCACCAATGATAGCCATAATGGCAATATTGGCCTGCAGAAGCGACAACTCATTAAACTTCACTGGTGTTCTTGTGAAAATCATATAAAGCAGCAAAGCATTAAACGTTAGAGATAAGGGACCAACGACGTAGAAGAATATGAGATTTATCGTGTAGAATGTCTCGTTTGATCTGATAATATTCATCTCTGAAATGATATTTTGTTCACTCCTGCCGTAAAGAATATCATCTGAAGATGCACTTATTGCTGCCAGAACAAATCTGCTTACTGGCGAAGTTTGAGCTCGAAGCACAGTAAGTTTTCCGGTACGGGCGTCAACTACGACACATACTTATAAGAACCAAACTCTGCCGTAAGTAGAAATCAAGAATCCTTCAACATGTTGAGCTAGTCATTGCGCCACCGACAATGCATGCGCGAACTTCACAGCACTGCTTGTGAAAGCAGCCTATTGGGCAAACATATGCACACCCACGCACAAAAACGCATAAACAAACACACCCACACAGACATATATTATTTCACATTTCCAACCAGCAAACAAAAGAAAAATATTTGGATATCTTCTTTGCATACATGGAGCTTCTCTTTGTAGTTCAGTGCGTCTCGAGTTCTCATTCTGAAGTGTATTGTTCGCTGAAATACAATTTACTTGTAAATACCGCGGTAGATACTTACCACTGTCACGGGAAAAAAGCACTAAAAAATTAGCAATTAGTGAAAATACCAATTGGCTCAGCAAGGCGCTATTTTGCCAGGCAGTGAAAACAATTAATAAATCAGAGATTAGCTACTTTGATTCCTAATAATCTTATCAGAATACTGTAGCAATAAAGCAATGTATGAATTCCGAAGAGATAAAGGATTCTGTTTCGTTCTCGGATCTAATCTGCTTGCTCGTAAAATCTGTTCGAAAGAGATGAATCGGAGGAGTAAAGTAATTATAAATTTGGGACATCCAGGAACTGACGTCAGCAGTCTGAGTGGCCGTAGTGATGCCAATGCGTTTGATCCAGAACTTTTACCAAAAAGTTCGTGGAAAATCCGTATAAACTGAGGTTGGGGATAGCATGTGACAATCAGTCTTGTTGACTTAACCACACTGAGATATACTGGATGTAATTAAGGTAATTAGTGTTTAGGGAGTTTGGATTGCTATTTTCAATATATGCATTAAAGTCGTTTATCACGCTGGAACTGTGTTTGTTTATTAGGTATAACAAGGGAAAACTAAAAAAAAAAAACTCGTAAATCGGAAATTTTTATTTATCTTTCGGCCTGGAGATTAACAAAATAAACAAACGTGATCTAAGACTGAGGCGGGCTCAGAACGGGATATTGATGTTTGTCGTGAAAACCCGGGGATATTATGACGAAGCACTTTGGCTGTAATATCAGTATGGCATGCGTATTGTGCGCCTTTTCAAAACCCAGGCCGAAACGCACCAGGCGAGCCGGTGCGTTTCGGCCTGGGTTTTGAACGTTTATTTCTTTACACCTACCTCATGTGCTTAATGCCGAAAATCATCGTAAATTTTGCATAAAAGAAACAAACTATTTCCATTTAGCGATGTTTTTTGAAAACGTAGGCTGGAACGCACCAGGCGAGCCGGTGCGATCATGCGTTTTTGCACAAA